TGTAGGGCAAGTTCGTTCTTCTCGGCTTTTACGGCGCAGGGCTGCGCGGTGGATGGATTCCACATTGTCTCGGGGGGCCGGTGCCAGGTGGAAGGCGTGTTTCCAGCCTGCAATGGTGGAAAAAGGGAGAATACGTCTTCCTTGTCCATAAGATTTATTTCTGTGCAGATACTTTTTTCACATACAGCTTCATCCAAGCCCAACACGAATTGCAAGAGGCGATTTGCACACTTAAGTCGTTCGGACTAATCTCCTAACAGCACATTAACTCAATAAGATCCCATTATACTAATAGCTGAGTATAATTCCTTTGCATTTTACACATACACTTTTTGAGATTTTGCTTTTTCTAAAAACTAAAATTACAGGACGATGAAGTTAGCTTACTATGGTAAGCTTCAGAAAGACCTCTTTATTTTGTATTTCATTTAAAGGCCTGGACAGTTGTCCCGGATTTTACACATCATGCCCACTCTGCCTCATTGTCAGCGGTAGCAGTGAATAATAGATATGTGGTCACTGGGAGCAGAGATGAGACAATCCAAATCTATGACATGAAAAAGAAGACAGAACATGGGGCACTGCTACAGCACAATGGTAAGGGAGCTTTTCTTTGCAAAAGGCATTAACCATAGAAACTTATAGCTGAAAAACTGTCACTTGTCAGAAGAAGAAAATTGAAAATTTTTTTTTAGTCTTTAATAGTGCTTGTGTTGCACGCATGATGGTCTGATGATATAAGTAAGGTAAGCTTCTTGAGCATAAAAATCCAAAAATCATCTTGGATATTAGCCCAGAAATATAGCTGCTACTTCAAATTATTTTTAGTTTTAACTGTTTAAGAAGTTATAGCCCACAAATGGCTCATGAGCCATTTTTGTTCTACCAGTACAGTTTATTTAGACTATGCCTACTCCCAACAACCTTCTTTCCTAGTGTCCTTGTCCTGTCACAGACGTATGTGAGTCAAACAAAAGAGAGAGTTTGTGTGTGTGGGAGCAGGCTGCTGCTGCCAGAAGAGTTAACCTGGTACATTTCCCACTGTACATTTCCCACTTCACATGCCTCCTGAATTACAGCAGTGTGATACATCAGTTAATGGCTGTCAAAATAAATGTGTTTGGGTTATTTGCAGCTCAGTCCTGATTGTCCTTTTTCTTCTGATAACCAAGAAGTGCCTGGAGCTAGACTGAACATGGTACCTGTGTTCAACTTATGGATGATAAATCTGGTGCATAAGCACGTGCAGTAAATTCAGCTGTGTGTCAAGAGTAGGGCTTTGATATAGGACCATTCCTTATCACTGATAAAAGCTCTGTGTCACTGGCGCCACAGTGGTTGAGCACTGCCATTTCAGGAACAGACCAGATGGAGTTCAGACATGTATGGCTATAGGGAGGCTGATAGAGCACATCAGTGATTGAATATAATAAGAAAGTTTGGGGGGTTTTGAAGAAAAATTAGAAAATAATTCATCTTTTCCCAAGGGTAGAGTAGTAGCTGGCATGTTTTGATGCTAGAAGCTTCTCTGTTAATTCATACGTTCTCTGTGTGATAACCGTTCAATATGCACAACATTGTTGATAGCTCTGGTTTGTATTTCTAGGCACAATAACTTGTTTGGAGTTCTATGGTACTGCGCATCTACTGAGTGGGGCTGAAGATGGACTAATTTGTATCTGGAACACAAAGAGATGGGAATGCCTGAAATCCATTAAGGCACATAAGTGAGTTTCTTAAATCTGCAAATTCACATATGTTTTCAGGTTTATTTTTCTTATAAATAATCTATGTGGCTAATATGTTGTGATTTTTTTTATCAGGGGGCACGTGACATCTCTTTCTATTCATCCTTCTGGGAAATTAGCTTTGTCAGTAGGAACAGATAAAACATTAAGGTGAGTCAAAACTGATGAAGGAATGCTGAGAATCATAATTCAGTAACCCTTAGTAAACTGTTACAAGCAACAGTTCCATGCCAGTAGTAGACCGTGCAACACTGATAAATATTTGGACATCAAATGATTCAAAGCTCCATGGGTTTATCTTTTTAAGTTCTAGGTACCAGCAATATTTTAGTCTTTTAAAAATAGTCCTTGCTGTTCCTAGCTTCCTGTTGCACTCTGACTCTTTATAGTCACTTGTATAAGTACAGTTGCATTTTGGACACGATTTGTTTAAACTTCTGAAAGCTGTCAGGTTTTGTTTAGCATGAGAAAAGTAATTTTTCACTCAGAGTGTGTACATGTTGCTGCATATATGTGTTTTAAATACGTAAGATTCTATTTTAACAGCACAAATTGGTATTGGGCTCCTTTTGGGAGCATTGCAACCGGTGGTTTATAACAAAATATCACAAATTCAACCTTATAGTGTGCAAGCAATAGATGAAGTCATCATGTACTCTTGCATTAAGAAGGCAGTAAAATGCATAGAGATGCTTAAAAGTTTCCTGTGGATGCCTCATGTTAGCAGATAGGACTCTTCAGTTTCACTGCGCTGTTTTTAACTAGAATTCCCATTACCAACTGTTGTCTTTCAGAACTTGGAATCTTGTAGAAGGACGATCAGCCTTTATCAAAAACCTGAAGCAAAGTGAGTTTATCAGTCTAAATCCACTAAAAAAGTGGAATTAGACAGTTTCACTTTTTTGTGTAAAGGAAAGTAGACTGAATTATTCAACAAGTCAGTTAATTGCAAGCAATTTTCATGTCTTTTTTACACATGCAGGCAAGCATATATAAGCTTATGTCCTTAGTAAAAATCATTTACCAAAAGGAAAACATAGTGACACTAAAGTAAATTTTTTTCTGTTAAATTTGATGTCAGGACATTCAAATAAACGTGTTTTGTTTTTCTTTATACACTTCTGGTTAATAGAAATAAACATTTAAGACCATAGTTTTACTTGTTTATTCTAGGTTATTTGATTTTTTTCCTAAATTTTTCTCAGTTTAGGTAGAAAACAGTGTCTAACAGCTTCTAGAGATTCTTACTTTTAGATTCTTATGCAACATAGAGTGCAAAAAACCTGTGTACATGTGTGTATGAATGTATCAATGTGTACAGATGCCCACATAATTAAATGGTCCCCTGATGGAGAGAGGTATGTGACCGTGATCACAAATAAAGTGGATGTCTACAAACTTGACACAGCTTCAATCACTGGCACTATCACAACAGAGAAGAGAATTTCTTCACTTAGATTTATTACAGTAAGTACAAAAAAGAAAGGTGCTGGGAAATCAACTGGTTTGAAACACATGAAATTGATCACACTTGCATTTCTTTTTTCCCATTTCAAGGATTCTATCCTTGCCATAGCTGGTGATGATGAAATTATAAGGTTCTACAGCTGTGACTCTCAAAAATGCCTGTGTGAATTTAAAGCTCATGAAAACAGGTATTCTATATTTGTTTACTATTTAAATATTTATGGCAATGCTGAGTACTCAGTAAAGTTCAATGACTTGTAATGTTCAGCATAATTTACTATGGATTTTGTGTTAGTATAGAAAGTGAATTTATTCATGTATTGAATTCCAAATTTGTGACAGTCTTGTTTGTTTTTAGTATGAACACAAGTACTGTGCTGTCCATGCATGTTAGAAAAACAACAGGATGTAGAATTAGAAATATTACAGTTCTACATTTATGAGTGCGTGTGTGTGTAGAAATACACGCACACACAGAGGTACAACACTTCTGTGTGTGTGGTCTGTGCATTTCTGAAACTGGGTAGCAGTGTTTTCCTGCAAGACCATCTAAAGAATGTTTAACCAGTCTTTACAGATTCTGACTCTTTAGAATGCTTAAATAAAACAAACCAGTTGCACTCAGTCCTGACAACAGGAGGGTAATCACATATTCTCTGTCATTGTCAAATACCAAATATTTGTCCAAATGGTGCTTTTAATTCATCAAAACACGAAAGCATTAGTTAAAATGTCATTGATGTGGCTAACCGTGTGTGCTTAAAAGTATTAAAGTGTTCTGAATAGAATCCTAGCAAGCCTAGCAAAGGCAAGTGTTCGTACTGTAAATGACAGCACTCAAAACAGATTACTGTTCCAGGTTCCTGCCTGTCAGTTTTGGGTTTTCTGTTCAAACTGGTTTTCAGGCTGTTGCCTATTCATCTTTAATTTCTGTCAGCTTACTGTTCTAAAGTGAACTGCCATGCTATAAAGTGACCAAGTATTACATTTTCTTCACAGAATAAAAGATATCTATAGTTTTGAAAGAGAAGGACAACATGTTATTGTTACTGCATCCAGTGACAGTTATATTAAAATGTGGAATCTGGATCTTAATAAGGTTGGTCTGTTAAACTGCTTATTACATTTATGGAATAGTATCAGATAACCAGAATTGCAGACAGTTCTGTTATAAGGATTCATTTTAAATCACTGAGGAAATTTTACTTGAAATCTGGATGTCTTGACCTTCTTCCACGTTATGTTCAGTAGAGATGTATACGTCTATGCACATATTTTTATGCACTTGTATAATTTTGTATCTTTGTAATTTTTTTAAACAAACTATAAAATCTGATGATAATATGGAGCTCTCATGTCCTCCTCATGTAAAGTCATGCTTCCCTTCAGACCTACCTGGCCAGACTCATGACTATCTAATCAATTATATATGTTCTAAGGACTGCTGTGACTTTTTGTAATGTTGATGACTGATGCTACTTTTTTAAAAACACAAACTCTGTAGTTTGGCAAGGGTGGTGTTTGTTTGTTCATGTAGGGGGAAAAGGTTGCCCTTTTGAAAAATTGAAACACATTATTGTCCTGGGTACTTCCTGTCCTTTCAAACAGTTCTGAGTATCACAGTTTAATAAGGAATCATGTCTTATCTTTAAAGTTTGCCATGTTTAATGTTTGCTCTGGGGTTGTCTTTTAAAATCAGAATTAGATTTTTCTAATCTAATGCCTAGTAATAAAGGATCTACTATACTCCTTTGTAAGTATCTTGAATAGTTCAAATAAATCTCTCTTAACATTTATACACTTTATATATCTCATCTGAATTCATTTTTAATTTCACCCCTCTGACTATTTTTATATGTCTAAGTGCTGTAGTGAAAATCCCTCTTTTCCCTTCACCTCAAACTTGTGTTCCCCTTGTACATAATTGACGTAGCGATCAAGGAACTCTTTACCTTTCTCTGTAACATTGTCTTTATTTTGGCCAAATACACAATTTTCTTCCTGTGCAGGGAAAATTTTGTAAAATTTTGTGTAACCGTGTCGGCTACTCTGTCCAGCTCTGTGAGGTAGAATATCCTAATACAAGTAGTTTCTGATGAGTTGATGCTGTTATGCTGCACATGTGTTTGTGACACTTTGTCCCCTTATATCTGTAATAGGATATTTCCTCAAGTATTCCCAGAGCTGACTGATACAACTGCAGTTAAGCGATTTGAAACACACTCTGAAGAGACTCTTTCTAATCAGCAGCCATGTCTTTGTGATGGAGAAAAGGAATCTGATGGAATAACTTAATTAAAATTATTTTAGCTGTACCAAAAATTACCTATTACTCTGGAGAATCTCCTGAAACCATTAACAGGGTTTTTTTTGGGTGGGTCTATGACTCATCTAGTTATTCCTTGTATTAAACTTACCCCAATGTGCCTGAAACCCACTGATCTTGCTTATCAAGATATGTCCTTAAAGCCATTGGGAGTTTTTTGTAAAACCACCACTGAGGAATGGTATCAGGAAGAGGACTGTAACTATGTGACGATTAATCAGTATACAGCCTCTAGTTCTAAACATTGTTAGGCACCAGAAATTAAGTGGAAAGTGGGAAGTAAGATACTTTCTCACCTCAAATACTTCAGTAAATTTAAACAGAAAGAAAATAATATTTCATTAATCTTTTTATATATTATCTTCAGATTAACGATGTGCCGTCTTTACTGTGTGAAGTCAATACCAAAGCTAGGCTGACATGTCTTGCAGTGTGGCTTGACCGAGCTTCAGAAATTAAAGAAAATTCTGATAAAGCTGCAACATCATCTCAAGGTAGCAGAACTGTGTGTGTTTTCAGTTGTTAATGTGACTGTGAAACGGAATGTACTAAGTGGGAGGTTTTTAGTATATGCACTGGAAAAAGTTTTGGTATTTTGAAGAACTGGGGATATGACACGGGCAAGTTATACAGATTTCCTTACCAGTCTGATAGTGTCTCAAGCCTGCATGTACGTTGGAAGACATAAGCCTCTTTTCACTTTTATCATATGAAAGTTTTGTTTCTCTTAACTGGAATAACATACTGAGGAGGGCACTGTGAAGCTTTTGAGACAGATAAGAAAAGAATAAACAGTTTTATACAACTGCATGTCTTGTTCTCCTACAAATAAAATCAGGTCTGAGGCCAATATAGTTGGGCAAACTTAGGAAGTCTGGCTCAGTTTTGTTGGGGGGGGGGTGTCTGTTCTTTTCCTGTATCATAATCTATTTACATACTTGATAGTTAGATATTTTCACATCACAGGCAAAACTAGCATAAATGGCACATTTCACTGTAAATCAAAAAATCTTTTCTAAAACCTTTTTAAAAATTAGATACAAATAAGTATCTGTGCCATTTTAGACTACAAAGACTGGACATAAATATCCGTGTAAATAATTTGGGTTTTTTTTCAGCAAATGAAGATGAAAAACCATCAATAGTCAGGAAAAACAAAGTTTGTCGGACTGATAAAAGTGATAAAACAGCAAAAAGAAAGAGAAAAATTACTCCAGAGAAGCAAAAATTGGAAGCTCCACTGCAAAAGAAGAAAAAGAAACGGAATAGCTCAGCATGAAGGCAGCTACATTCTCTCCTGAATAAAAAGTAAATGCTGGTGTTGCTGTAGTTTGTGAAAGGATGTAAACCTATGACAGGATATATACCTCTGAACTGACCTGTTGTTTAAAAGTAATGAATATTTTTACCTAATAAATTGACTGATCATTCTGGGAAGTAGCAAGAGAGATGGCAACTTTTCCTGAGAGAATGAGGCAAAAATAAATTCATAATATGTAATGTTTATATTTTTGTATTAACAATAGCATACACTTTTTAACTGGCTCTGAAAAACCCAGCTAAAATGATAAAAATAGCTGCATCTGTCTCAGTTACATTTTTGTCTCCCTTAAATGCATATTAAAAACATGTACACTTTTTCATTTTAGTCTTGGAAAAGTTACTCTTCATTTGAACTCAAAATATGATCTGCCTTTGTCCTGCATTACCTTTCCTACTGTAAGAAAGAACATGTTAAAATGACTTAAAATATGATGATCACATTCTATTCATGCATTCCCAGAAAATTGTATTTTCTCGTTCTTGACGTGGACTTATACATAGAGTTTATAAGCGAAATGTTTGGGTTTTTTATTGTGCCCGTACTTCATGCCTTTAATTTTTTTTAAAGTCTCTGCACCCACGGTTCACATAATTGAAATCTTTTGTTCAGAATATGATACATGTTTTTAGGTGGAAGAGATTGTATCAATAAGGTTTTACCTTCTCTTTTCCCCCTTCCCATAGTATTTTTTCAAGTCCTTGATCTGAGCTGTATAGTTAAAAAAAAAATTCTAAGATTTGAAATGTTTGTCATGCTGATGAAGTGTCACCCATTGGTTTTGCACTTAAAAAATGAATTCCTGACTTTCCTAGTCAGTGGGAACAGGATTTTATTCTAAGTCTTATTACAAGTATACAGTTGGGAGAAACAAAGTTGAGCTGGAGCGAACAAGGTCAGCTGGCTGTACTAAATGTTCGCTTTATTTCTTTTAAAGTAAGGCATATTAGTCTTGTTTTCTGCACTACCAGAGTACTCATCATTTATTCTGTTTTCAACGAGTAATTGGAATTATGCCTTATTCTGGTTTACTTTAGTAATAATCTGTTCCTCCTTATTTGTGTAGCAAGAGAAAAGGTAGAGAAAATCGGAAAAAAGATTGAGCCAAATGTGGAGACAGGAATGCAGTCTGTCTTGAGGATGTAAAATGGGATGTAACTCCAGCTCATCTCTGTGTATGCTCTGACACTGAAACAAAGCGGGCATCATCGGTGCTGTTGTGAGATTGTTCATGTGGCAATGGCAGTATTCTCTTGGAAGTGGGTGTATTTATCTTATGTAACTGTTTCCTTTATTTAGGTAAATCATAGAATCACAGAATTATTTAGGCTGGAAAAGACCTTTAAGATCATAGAGTCCAACCATCAACCCAACACCACCAAGCCCACTAAACCATGTCCCTAAGCGCCACATCTACACATCTTTTAAATACCTCCAGGGGTGGTGACTCAACCACTTCCCTGGGCAGCCTGTTCCAACGCTTGACCACCCTTTCAGTGAAGGAATTTTTCCTAATAGCCAATCTAAGCCTCCCCTGGTGCAACTTGAAGCTGTTTCCGCTTGTCCTGTCGCTTGTTACTTGGGAGAAGAGACTGACACCCACCTTGCTACAATCTCCTTGTAGTAGTAGAGAGCACTATAGTCTCCCTTGAGCCTCCTTTTCTCCAGATTAAACAACCCCAGTTCCCTCAGCTGCTCCTCGCAAGACTTGTTCTTCAGACCCCTCACCAGCTTCATTGCTCTTCTCTGGACACACTCCAGCACCTCAGTGTCCTTCTTGTAGTGAGGGGCCCAAAACTGAACACAGTATTTGAGGTGCGGCCTCACCAGTGCCGACTACAGGGGCACGATCACTTCCCTACTCCTGCTCTAATACAGGCCAGGATGCTGTCATCGATCCAGCCTGTCTAGATCCCCTGCAGGGCCTTCCTGCCCTCCAGCAGATCAACTCTCCTGCCTGACTTGATGTTGTCTGCAAACTTACTGAGGGTGCACTTGATCCCCTCATCCAGATCGTTGATATCAAACAACTAAACAAGATATTAAACGGAACTGGCCCCAATACTGAGCCCTGAGGAGCCTCGCTTGTGACCGGCAGCCAACTGGATCATAACTCCGTGTCTGAATATTCAGTATAGTTGATTTTTTAATCAGTTCAACATTAAAGGGGTTTCAACTGTACTTTGGTGTGAACTGACACAGCTTTTAACTTCAATAATACCCTGAATGTGTGTGCACACAAACACAGGCAAATAATATAGGACTTAAAATGGTTTGTAGACTTGGCAGGAAGGGTACTGAATCAGACTTTTAAGGCTCCTGTAGTAACTGTAGGACTTACACAATTCTCTTATTTAAGCTTATACTTTGCAACATGTTTTCATTTGTAAAATGTTATGTCTCTTTTATAGTGCTTATCTTATGTCTGTTCTTGACAACATGGCTGCCACTACTAAAACAGTTTTCAGTGTTTGAATTTTTAAATACATGAGCTCGTGGCCATGGGCATCACAATTACAGAAGCAGTCTCTCATAAGCACCAGGAAAAATCCATCCTGCACATAATTTTAAGAACTAAAAAGCAAAAATTCCACAATTTTGGTTCTAAGGTTTCAATTTACAAGTAAATATTTGACATTTGTAAAAATCCAGACTCCCTGTGTAGTAAAAAAGAACTATGCATCTCATGAGACTCAAAATTTGTGAACTGGAGACAGAGAAATTAAGTCCTAACAGCTTTTAAGGTGAAATACAGAAACAATACTGGGAGCAGAACTCGTATTTCCTATACCTTGAGTGCATGCTCAGCTGCTAACCAGTACTTGGCAATTATTTTTTGTTGTTTCCTTGTGCATGTCTTCCTTTTCAGGACATTTTCTGTTCTAGCTTTCAGGCAGCCGCTCAGAATGATAGAGGGGAGGCAGCAGTGCAGAGAGGGAGGAGATGCCAGCGGTGAGAAAGCTCTTCCTCTGTCAGAAAGGGTGAACGTGCATGAAGCCGGTAGAGCAGATGGAGCCATGGCTGCAGGAAATGACGGCCTAGCGAGCAGCATCTCAGCTAAGTCCCAGGTGAGTTTGGCAGCTCCGGCAGCTGTGAACTACTTCCAGTTTTCCTGCTTCCCTTCTTGGGGAACCCTAGTGCTGGATGACAAAGCAGAGCCCAGTGAAACTTGAACCTTATAGCCATTACACAGCTTGAACAGCAAAGGGAACCCCATCCAGTATAGCTTACGTCTGTGTTCGCTGTGGCACTTTTCAGGGAGACAGGAGATCTGTATTTAAACGACTTAGGCCAACAAGGGAATTAAACTGCTCTCCGCTTTCTGACAATTAGGCTAATTCATAAAGATGGGAAAATTTGAAACACAGCTAGAGAAAGCTGCATCTTGCAGAAAGCACAGGCTCCCAATGTTTTGTGCCTTCTGTTATGGAAAGGTGCTGAAGCCCTTCAGAAGGCTCAGGGATCTGGCTGGAGGGGTGATGTTTCTTCCTATATGGTGAAATGTCCATGGGAGGTAAGCGCATAGCCAACAGGAATAAATCATACACCACCATTTAAGAGAAGAAAGCACTTTGAAAAAAACAAAGAGCTTATCTTTGCAGACAGTTATAAATATCTCTCTACGTTTTTCCAGATTAAAAAAAATGCAAAACATTTTCTTTACAAGGTGTTTTTCATCTCCCATGGTTATGTAATTTCTACAGAAAACTCCTTTTTCTGTTACTCTAGCCATGCTTGCAATTTGAAGATGATAGAAATTCTCTCCAGCTTCCATAAAACGGCTATACTGAAATTACTGATCAAAGCTAGAAGGACCCTGTCGACTGCCCAGAGTTGTAGCTGACGCCACACCAAAACCCAACCCCAAATTCTCATCTGTACCACATACCCCTCCGCTGCTAGCGCAGGACTGGGATGGACAGGGTGCGCACGAATGCAGCTGAGAGGCCGCGATGCCCCTCGCTGAACAAACACACAGACCCTGCACCGCAGTCTTCCCGCATTTGCGGGCATCCTCCACACTCCCCCGCCGGGGCCCGGGGGGTTACCCGCAGCTCTACAGGTAGGTGGGAAGGCACCAACGGCTTCTCCACAGCCCCGGACTGCGGGGCGCACGCTACCCCGCCTGTCGGTTTGGGCTTTGTTATTTTTTGGTGTTTTTTTCCCTCCCTCCCTTCCCTCAGAACAGCCGGAAGAGGGAAGCTTTGGGCGGTGCGTTGCTCCCTCGCTTCCCCTTCTGCAGCCTGCTCCGCCCTCGGCTGCCACGGAGCCGGGCAGCTGCAGAGGTGAGCCCTCCGCGGTGGGACTGCCCCCCCCCCCCCGCGCCAAGGCCGCCCCGGAGCCTCCAGGGCTGCATTTCCAACAAACCGGGGTTCGTTTCTTGGACTGGGTTTGGGCTTTTGGCAGGCCTTCCTCGCAGAAAAGCTCTCCCTTGGCAAAATGCTGCTTACTTTTTTTCCCCGCCAAAAAAATGAAGAGATACTGATCCTCAACCTAATTTCTTTTTCAGTTGTCAGCATGGCCGTGGACTGGCTCGGCTTTGGCTACGCTGCCCTGGTGGCATCAGGAGGGCTCATTGGCTATGCAAAAGCAGGTACGGTGCGGGAGGATGCTCGTATCTCCTTCACACACACGCCTCCTGCTCCCCAGTAACTTTGTGTGAGCTGGGCGGCTTTCTACAAAAGCCTCCTATCTCGAAATTCGCACAGATGTTGACCGGTTTATCAGTTCGTGTCATGTGCTGCTTTTGGGGTGTGGTGCTTTTTGGCTTGAGCTGGTGCTTTGGGCTGATAAAACCCACAGTCTGCTTTCTGGTGAATACTGGTATCCTGCTTCTGTGTTGTATTCTTTGGGTGAGCTGACATACGTTTGCTTCAGGAAGCCTTTTCCCCTGCTCATGTGAATATAAGCATTCTGTAAATGTTCTGTATCTTCAAATGACGTAAATCACCATTTTTTTTCCCTTAGAGATTTATTCTCATTTTAATGCTTGATGGTAACAGTATACTGCATGCTGCGGAGTTTTCAGAAGGAGCCTCTTTCCAAGTAGATCTGAACAATGCAAATAAGCCCTTAAACTAGTTCCTTTTCTGGGCTCTGCATCATAAGCTTACCCTCTGACCTGCTGCTTCCATTTCCTGACCTTTTTCTGAGTTTGCTCTCCTCCAGACAGAACTGTGGATTCATCCCTGCTGCAATACTGTTTCTTTCTACTTTGAAAATCCCTATTGGCTTGATGTATCTTTTGGGCAGTGAGTGGAGTTTAGGACAGGAGGGACAATACTGAGAACTTGAGTAATTAATTGCATCTGTATTTCTCAGAGGCCGTCATGAAATGGTAGGTGTCTTCCTCTGGTCCCAGATGGGAGGACATAGTCGCGCTGAGGCAAAGGAATCCAGGTCGCAGGATTTTTGAAAGGGGAACAGGAACTTCTATGAAGACTTGTAGGGAGGAAAAAAAAAGAGCTCTCATATCCCTATTAATAACTTGGAGAAAGCTAAACAAAATGGAACTTTCATCCATAGAGCTAAGATGGTGATCTGTTCTTTTACAACGAGGTCTATTTACCCGTAATGGTCAGCAGTAGGTGCCTTGGGAAGAATATGAGAACAGGGCAATTAGAGTGATTGATTTTCTCTCTTCATTTAGTAAATTTTCTGGGTCCCAGTCTTTTGAGACTTGGGAACTTCCTGAGCCACAGGTGGTGTGGTTGTCCTATTAAGTGTATGTGTCATAGCTACTTAAACAATGCCTTGAGGTAAAATTCAAGGATATGATGGCCATTTCTTGGCTCCCAGGCTTGTGGAAAGAATCGTAGCTACCACATGTTGGTTGCTAAACTGTATTCTGTGCAGAGCAACCACTTCGTAGAGTGTTGCACGTGTAGAAGAATATCTGGTGCTTTCTATCATCATTACCTCTTGCATTTTATACAAAAAGCAAGATCTGAAGCAATGTTACAGCTACCTTGTTGATGACCAAAAGATTATTACTTTCTGGTAGCAATATGCAACCCTCCTGTAACATTGAGAGGAGATCTTTATCAGCTTAGCTTTGCAATCTTGAGTCTTTTAAAGATGACCTGAAAAATGGAGTATATAAAGAACCACCCTCAGTAGCATTGTCCTGAATTCTCCATTAGCCTTACTGAGGGTATTCACCACTCACAATGGTCATGCCACTTCATTACTTGATGTAATCTCTAAATCACCAATTTGGATGTGGTATCCTTTATCTTGTGGTAGCTTGGGACTATCATTTATACTGACAACTTGATCCAAAGTTTAGGCATGTCCAGGGAACCTTCTTCTAAAGTCTGCAGTTACCTTTGGATCATATCTCAGGTATACTTAAGAGATAAGGCTTCTCTTATCTACTCTGCTCTCTTCTTTGGCAACTCTTTCTTTGTCTGTATGTCCAGTTCAGTCCACGTGTCCTTTTTCTGATCTTAAACCCTTACTATTTAATCCATTTACTTTACTGCCTCTACAGAAATTCTGGTATTACTGTGTTGAAACAAAACACTTCAGTTTGCACAAAGAAAACACCAATTCTTCTGCTTTTCTCACTATCCTTTCCATCATAAATATATTAATGGGTGTGCTGTTAAAGAATTAAATACTAATATTGTTTGTGTCTTATGCAAGAGTATTTGAACGTGTTTCTTGGTGCAGATCAGCGTGGTCTTAATTATCTTAAAAGAACCCCTCTCTAATCTGCTTTATAACAATGAATGCCCATCTTTTTTTTTGCTATTGTTGGTGTTTTGTAAAACAGATAAGCTGATGAGCAAGTTTATTTCTGAGATTCTAATAAATGCATTATCTTCTACTTATTTAGGTAGTGTCCCATCACTAGCTGCTGGCCTTTTCTTTGGGAGTTTGGCTGGACTGGGTGCCTATCAGCTCTCACAGAATCCAAATAATATTTGGATTTCTTTGAGTAAGTTGTTTAAAATTTTAATTAGAAGGGATTATGTTTACCCTAAAATAACTGTATACTTAAAATGAGTATCTAAAAGTCTTTGCAGAAGGCTTAAACTGGTGGTGTTATGAATCTAGTTTGAATCCAATCTTTAAACTTGTGTTTTAGTGAAAAATCTCTTGGTGTTGGTGGCCAACTTCACTGCTCTTCCTGGCATGTGAACTGTTAGCATTACTTAGTTATTTTTTTAAAAAAGGTATTGAGAATGCATATTAAAAACTGCTTGTCTTGGTGTGTCTTAGTGATTTCTCACTACATTCCTGCATCCCTTTTGCAAGAAGCATAAATTCAAACTTACATTTTTGTTCCTTTTCTACAACAGGAGAGGAAAATATCTGTTATTTATAATTAGTTTGTCTTCTGAACATCAAAAAACCTACAGGTTGTGAAGGAAAATGTGTGCTAGGATAAAGTGAAACTTACTAGTTTTAAAAAAAAAATCAAACTAAATACCATTATTTCACATCCTTCAGCAAAATGAAAATCAAATAAGCATTTTGTGTTTAAAAACTAGTGTGTAGTATGGCGTGAATCTCCAAAATGCACTTTTTGTTTTTCTGCCATTTACCAGGTAGAGCTCAGGATTGTGATCAAGTTAGGTCAGTTATCACCTATCACTTTGACCTGTGCGTGCCTAAAGCTAATCCTGCTTGCAAAATAACATGACTTGGAACTTTTTTCATTCACTAATAAGTTAGGGTACCTTGCAGCTGAAGTGGGCTGAGAAAATATATGTTGATAATTCCTGTGGCTCAGTTAATGCCTGACACTTGATAGGCTGATGTATCTCAGATACTTGTGAGCATGTGTTTTATGTAACCCTTTGGCCAGTATTTGTGTTAGTAGTACCCTCTCCTTTCCATTGCTGATATGTAGAAGACATCGGTGCATGACAGTTCTCTAGCACTAGCTAAGTTTCAGTTCCCAGGCTTTGCTGAATTGGTGGCTGCCACCATCTGTCTCGTACTGGTGTGTTTGAAGGATCGTTGTGTAAGGAAAGTGCTAGTAAACTGATGTCTGACCTTTGTGTGTCCTCTTTGTGGCTGGATCCTACTTTCAGCATCCTGCAGGCTGGAGCATTTCGGGAAGTGTGATTCCCCTGCAGACTGCCCATACCCCTAGCAGGTTATTTTATTATTGTTGAAAATGGCAGAGATTGTGATTGGCATATTTTTATATGTGATAAATATGTGGACTTACAAAGGTATTGCGCTCCTGGGGAGAATTAACAGAAGCAAGCTTCAGTAGTGTTGTTTCTCCTTCTTTTCTGAACTGGAGCTTCCCTTCTGCCTGACTTTGAGAAGCTAACTGTGGAGGGTCACTGCTTAGTCAGTGCTGAAAGAGCTGCCACTGACTGTAGCATTTCGTCACTGAAGCAGTGACAGAGCATTTAGCTCTTTGATTCGTGAAAGTCAGAAGTGAAGGGGGAAGGCCCAGCATTTCTCTCCACTTCGGCATTGTCTACAGTGCCGTCCACTTCCACATCTACTGGATAGGTCAAAAGCTGTGCATGGTCAAGCCTAAATAACTGGAATAAACTGCGTATACAGCAAGCTTATAAAAGGAGTGAGACAAAGTATTTTCCCAGATATGAGAGACAGTCATATACATTTTTATAATTAAATAGTATATGGAGCCTTTTCCTCCTTTTCATGCTTTAAAGATTTTGGAGAAGGTGTGTTCTACTGCTGTTTTAGACAAATCTATGTTTAATGAAGTGTGCATATTTTGAAGACTGGCTACTAATAAGAGCTTGAGGCATTTGAATACTGAAATATTTTGATTCTTTCTTGTGTGTTAGACTGTGGTCCCAGTTTCTTACATACTTGCTTACATGAGATTGCTAGATGTCCGTGAACAGTATTTAGGGTGGTGTTAAGGAGGAAGGATGCTATGGCTAGGATTGAAGATGAGCTGAGTCTTGCAGAACCAGTCATCACATAGAAGCAATGGTAGAAGATAAGAGTGGTTGGAACAACATGTTGTGTGTAGCTGTTACCACTGGGTAGCAGATGTGTGCTAAGGCTAAGGATTTCATCAAGTGTATTTTCCTTACAGTTTTCTTAGTAGTCTTTCTTTGAGATACAGTGTTCCAGGGATTGCCCTTTTTATTTTACTGTCTCAGTGAAACTGCTTGGCTCCTGTCTCTATGTCAAGTGGTCAGGGTCAATAGCTTTAACTCTCTGATCTTAGTGGAAGGTGGTGCTGGGCTGAAATGGATTGGTAATGCTTGGCACTTATATATCACACTTCCCTTTGGAAGTCTTTTGCAAACATAAATTAGTTAATTCTCAGAACATTACTACAAGTTAGACATGAAAATGCTGTCTCCCTTTTACGAGGAGTGGGGGAATTACGTGCACAGGTTTAGTAATTTGCTTGTGCACAGGGAAGGAGCAAGTTCCAGAGCAGTGTAGCACAGATTATTTCCAATCTGCAAAGCAGCACATTTTGACAAAGAAATTTGAGGAGTGTGTGCAGAAGCATGTGGAGTGCACTGTCTGCTAGAACTTATTTAGAATATTTACTTTTCACATACTGAGGCATTCCAAAGTTCACAGGATTTATTGACTCTTTTAGTCCATCACATGAAATAACCATGTTTCACTTTTTGCTTGATACTACTATTTCTCTCTGTTCTGTTAGTTTTGAATTGTAGCATCTCTCTCACACACATGCATCTCTGCTGACTGGACTGTGTAATGTCTCAAATTTTAAGTTACATCTGGAACATTGACTGCCGTCATGGGAACAAGATTTTACAACTCTGGAAAATTCATGCCTGCAGGGCTAATTGCTGGTGTCAGGTACAACACAATATACTTTTTTTAACCTCCTATATGTGATTTCTTATTTGCTTAATTAAGCTGAGATGGAGTGAATCATATTTTGTTTATCTTTTTTGTTTCTATGTACCAGTTACATGGGAAGTATTTGAAAATTAATTGACAAATTATTCTTATTATTGTTTAATTCTGTGTTTTTCCCTAAAAAAAAAGCTAATGGTTGGAAGATTAGCACTGAAGATGGCGGAAAAGCCCCACGATAAGTAACTGTTCGTTTTACAGTTTAATATCTGGGTAGGGAAGCCTGATAATGAAGTTGCACAAACACAGAAGCAAGAAGATGGAACAATTTTCTATATCAAGACAAATTTTTTTCTTTTTGGGGGCATAGAATGATGGGGCACATAGTTTACATGCAAGGTGCCATTTGTTTCAATGATCTGGTAAAGCTATTATTGTGAGTGAGAAATTGGTCCTGGGTTTGATTTCCCCCCCACACACACCCCGAAACATTTCATTGTATTTTAACACTTACAGTTTTTATATTATAAAATATACTGCTGACATGTATGAAGCAGAGAGAACCCCTAATTAAGAAAGTATCCACAAAGAGGTCCCAGGAGTAACTGGCTAAATACAACAGTGTATCTCATACCTTTCATACTGACTATCACAATATGCTCTAGCTGTTGCATTCTGAGTTGGTATACCATGTCTGTATAACACCAAACAGATCTTACCTTTTATTGTGAAATTATGCTAAAATGTTGCTTTTCTACAAGTAAAATTTGTTACAAACCTTTATTTGGCATGTTTTTGTATCCTTTCTGTGTGGGGGGGAGATAGGGGATTGTTTGGTGCTTTTTAACCTTGTTTTCTTCTTTTCTTCTTTGTAGTGAACTGTTATCCAAGTGCTGTGTTTCGATGATATTTAAAAATCACTTTTTAAATGGAGGGGCAGAAGATTAAATTAGGGGTCTTCACTGACACAGCATTAAAACAGTTGTTGGAAAGGAACTCATTCTGTGGATTAATTAAGCGAGATCTGTGCTAGGCTAAATGAACAGTCAAATGCGATCATTTGAGCCAGAGTGACATTGCCGTTGTTGTGAATCAATGGAAACCCATATGGTGGCAGATTGAAAGTTGTCATAGTAGAAAGTAGTAATTACAAGCAGATCTATAGATGTTGGGCCAGTTGTGCTCTGTGTTATTAATTCTTTTAGCGCAAGTTATAAAATTAATTCCAGGTTTTTGAACAGATTTCATATTGTAACCTCTCATGTTTCCAGGCATTTAATCTGTAAATAACCTAATCTGTACAGGATGCATCTGCAGGGAGCAACACTTAAAACATGTAAAAGCATATCTGAAATTCTAGTCTCAGTTAAATCATAGTCTCTTTTGACCATGCTGTAAGCAAAATCCAACAGAAGTTTTGTAATTCCCTTTATACGTCCTAAATCACCCTATGTAATTGAATAAAAAATTCCATCCCTGCTGTAGAATTTTCTACAGCCTTTCAAGAATTAAAGACATTAATATCCTTTCTCCAGACTGCCAGTGATTTTAGGCTGATTGTTAGGTAATCCTATAAGGTTTTTTCCTATTTTTATTGTGTAGGTTTTGGTGATTGTTTTCCACTGAGGGTGGTCTCTCTGTAAATTGAGATTATTACTTTTGCATTGAATTCACTGCAGCCATGCCATGGCTTCAGTGAAACTTCATGCTGTAAGTCAGCTTGTGTTTGGATGTAATGTTTGGAAAGAGGGATTTAGTTATTTATTTTTAGGAAATTAGCTGTTGAAATAGTTCTTAAGTCAAGCCTACTCTGTTCAAAGCACACTCTGAAAAGAAAGTTAATTTAATATTACTTACAGTATCAACTGTCAGCACAAGCTGAAATGAGTAATGACTTTTTAACGAGGCACGGGAAAAGGAAAGCAGTTTTACAATACACTAGGTCACTAGGATTCAACAACTCAAGAGTTTAATCATGCCTCCAGAACTCAAATACATTATAGTAATGACAGAAGAAGAGAGTTTGGGTTATCAAACCCTCATTTCCCTGAGTGCAGACCCAGGCCCTCTATTGCACGTGTTGCTGTCACATCTACAGTGCCTGGTGGAAGCTGGATGGTGATAGGAAATGTCAGGTATTTCACCCCTCTCTTGGGGCACTCACTCAAGACTGGAGGAGGGAATTTCCTATTCACTTTTGTAGGTAAATGATCTCTTGAAAGTAGGAGCTTGCCGTAGACTTTGTAAGGGGGATGTATAAGCATACCTGTCTTTGTAATAGCGGTTGCTTACCGCAAGTCCTGGAGAGATGTTGGGCTCCCTTCAGCTCCCTTCTCAGGAGAGGGCTCTGTGCCTCAGACTGCGGGATCTCCTCGAGGAGGGGCAGAATATTGCCTGGGGAAGCCACACTGCAGCAGAGAAGAAAGCACAAATTTCCTGGGACCTGTGGGAACAGGAGCAACTTTTTTTTTTTTTTTGGGGGGGCTTCTCTTAAAGCCAGATAGTAACTGGCAAAAATGCAGAAACATCCTGAAGCTGAGAAATAGAACCCAGGTTCTTCTCTGCGCAGGTGGAAAACCCATGGGGCAACCTAAATTTCACCTATGCTGTCTGTTTACTTTTGGCTAACCCCAGGTTCTTTCCCATTCAGTATCTTACCTGTGGTATGCCAGTTGCTCACACTGGGACGACACCGGGTATGTGCAGGCTGGGAACGTTACAAACCACCCAGTTAGTGGAGATGTTTACAAGTTTACAAACCACCCAGTTAGTGGAGATGTGAGCAGATATTGAGGCGGGGGTGGAGGTGTCAAAATCTTGTGCACTTGAGTGCCTCGACTGTGCCTTAGTCTTTACAGGTACAACACTGAAACCTCTAACAGCAATAATGTACTGAGGCTCAATTGCAATATTGAGTTGAGGGGAGGAAAAGCAGTCTTTCTACTCACCCATCTATAGATGTCACACCCTAACCCGTTCTTTCAATTAATGTGACATTTGCAGGTAGCATATCTTTAATTTAGTACAAATCTGTAGTATGGTGTAAGATATAAGTAACGTTACTTGTCTCTCTAGTAGTAGAGACAACTGTCTTATAAAGACTAGCAAAGGAGAAGATTGAGAGGAGGATGGAAAATCCTTCACACGAAATGGTTTAGAAGAGAGGTAGTCACAGGCTGTCCTACTTCATCCCTTGTTCTACGAATATAGTACATGACTGTCTTTAATGCAAAGCGTATCCCCTCACTTTTGTTCTGCTGCAGGGTTCGAAAGTGTAATTTGCCATGTCCCAGTTCTGTCAGTCACTGTGCTGGGAGCTGTTGGCACTCTGTCATCCCTGGCTGAGGGTCAGTCCGTGCTGAAACTAATACAGCCCAAAGTATTCTGCAATTATCCTTTTGTGGTGTTACAATTGCTGGCTTCTTGGCATTATAGTCATGCTTTCTGACTGCACAGTTTAATCACCTGGAAAAATGGGAGGGGAAAAAAAGGTCAGGAGAACCTCCAGGCAGTTACGACAAAAGGAAGAAAGTCTTTGTTCCTCCAGAATCCCTACAAGTACAAATGGCAAAATGTTGCGTCAATAGTGTCACAGAGATGTCTGGACACATCTCTCCTGCTTCCTTGAAATTCTGAAGCAGATCAAAAGGCCTATGGTTTTGTCCCATATCCTTAGCTCAGCCCAGTGCAGAATGGCTTTGGATGTTCCTTTTAGCTTTCTTGTGCCTCTCTTCTGAACCTGTGAAATGGAGATAATGTTTTCTGTATTCCTTCCTTGTCCGTCTTCTACATTGTGGTCTTACACGGTGCGTGGCATAACGTGTTCCCCGACCCAGAAGTAATAACTGGTAGGTTGGATACTACCAGTTTTATTACTGGTAGTTAAACAGTCTGTCCCTGTTTTAATTTGATGCTCTTTTAAAAAAGAAGTATCTAATGAGAAAATCATGGTAGGACAAATGTGTATTTCCCTTCTCTAATTTCATTAAATGTTAGCATTTGCACAGTATTTTGAGATCCTCTGCTGCAAGGAAGTTGAACTGAGTTTTACTACTAATATTTTCGAGGATCATTGAGTCCAACTCCTGACTCCACACAGGGAAACCTAAAAGTGAAACCATAGATCTAAGAGCGTTGTACAAATGTTTATTGAACACCAACAGGCTTGGGGCCATGACCCTTCCCTGCGAGCTTGTTCCAATGCTTGACCATTCCCTCAGTGAAGAACCCTCTTTCTTTTCCTTTTTTCCTTTTTACCTTTTTTCTGCTTTTCTTGGTTTTCTTCTTCCTTTTTACTATTTTTTTTTAATATTTTTCCTTTTTCCTTTTCTCTCTTCTCTCTTTTCCCTCCTTTCTCCTTTCTCCTTTCTTTTCTCTTTTTTCTCTCTTTTATTTCTCTCTCTTTTTTCTTTCTTTCTTTCTTTCCTCCTTTTTCTCTCTTCTCTCTCTTTTCTCCTTTCTCCTTTTCTTTTTCTCTTTTTTATTTCTTTCTTTTTTCTTTCCTTCTTTCCTTCTTTCCTTTTTCTCTCTTTTCCCTCTTTTCTCCTTTCTCCTTTCTTTTCTCTTTTTTCTCTTTTTTGTTTCTCTCTCTTTTTTCTTTCTTTCTTTCCTCCTTTTTCTCTCTTCTCTCTCTTTTCTCCTTTCTCCTTTTCTTTTTCTCTTTTTTATTTCTTTCTTTTTTCTTTCCTTCTTTCCTTCTTTCCTTTTTCTCTCTTTTCCCTCTTTTCTCCTTTCTCCTTTCTTTTCTCTTTTTTCCCTTTTTTATTTCTTTCTTTTTTCTTTCCTTCTTTTCTCCTTTCTTTTTCTCCTCTCTCTTTTCTCTTTCCACTTCCCTCTTTCTTCTCTTTCCTCTGTTCTTTTTTCCTCCTTTCCTTTCCCCTCTTTCCCCTCTTTCCCCTCTTTCCCCTCTTTCCCCTCTTTCCCCTCTTTCCCCTCTTGTTGTTTTCTCGTTGTTTTCTCGTTGTTTTCTCGTTGTTTTCTCGTTGTTTTCTCCTTTATTTGTCCTTGTTAGTTAGCTGCCTGTGCCACCACTGCGGAGGGCTTGGAGGGGCTCCCCAGCGTGCGGAGCCGAGAGAGGGTGGCAGCGCCGCTGCGCCCGGCAAGCTGGCAGCCGGGGGAGAAAGACACCCCACCCCGAGACATGGAGGCAAGGGTGGGTATCAATAAGCAGCGCTTACCTACTTCCAACTTGGGGTTTACCCCCTTGTAGCTTTCTGACCTGGACCACCAAACATGTTCCTTGGCTC